AAAAAAGTCCAAAAGAGTACAAATAGATAATCTAAGGTCACACCTCATGTAGCTGGAGAAACAAGAACAATCTAAACCCAAATCCAGCAGAAGAAAAGAAATAACGGAGATCAGAGCAGAGCTAAATGAAATTCAAACAAACAAACAAACAAACAAACAGACATACAGAAGATTAATGAAACAAAAAGCTGGTTCTTTGGAAAGATAAATAAAATTGATAGACCATTAGCGAGATTAACCAAGAAGAGAGAAGATCCAAATAAGCTCAATTAGAAATGAAACGGGAGATATTACAACTGATAACGCAGAAATACAAAGGGTTATCGAGGCTGCTATAAACACCTTTACCTGCATAAACTAGAAAACCAAGAGGAGATGGATACATTTGTGGAAATATACAATCCTTCAAGATTAAACCAGGAAGACATAGAATTTCTGAACAGACCAATAACAAGCAATGAGATTGAAATGGTAATAGAAAAATGGCAAAAAAAAAAAAAAAAAAAAAAAAAGTCGAGGACCAGATGGATTCATAACTGAATTCTATCAGACATTCAAAGAAGAAATGGTACCAATTCTATTGACACTATTCCAAAATACAGAGAAAATCCTCCCTAAATCAGTCTATGAAGCCAGTATACCCTAATACCAAAACTAGGGAAGGACATAACGAAAAAAGAAAACTATAGACTGATATCCCTGATGAACATAGATGCAAATATCCTCAACAAAATAGTAGCAAACTCAATCCAACAGGATATTAAAAAGATAATTCATCATGATCAAGTAGTTTTCATACCAGGGATGCAGGGATGGTTTAACATACATAAATCAATAAATGTGATATACCACATAAACAGAATTAAAAACAAAAATCACATGGTCATCTCAACAGATGCAGAAAAAACATTTGACAAAATCCAGCATCAAAACCCTCAGCAAAATTGGCATAGAAGGGACATACCTTAAGGTAATAAAAGCCATTTATGTCAAACTGACGGTCAACATTATACTGAACAGGGAAAAGTTGAAAGCATTCCCAGTGGGAACTGGAACAAGACAAGGATGCTCACTTTCACCACTTCTATTCAACAAAGCACTGGAAGTCCTAGCCAGAGCAATGAGACAAGAGAGAGAAATAAAGGGCACTCAATTAGGAAAAGAGGAAGTCAAATTGTCACTGTTTGCTCATGATATGATCGTATATCTAGAAATCCCTAAAGATTCATCCAAAAAGCTCCTAGAACTGGTAAATAAATTCAGCAGGGTTTCAGGATACAAAATTAATGTAACCAAATAAGTAGCTCTACTATACACCAACAGTGACCAAGCCAAGAATCAAATCAAGAACTCAGTTCCTTTTACAACACCTGCAAAAAATTTAAAGACCTAAGAATATACCTAACCAAGGATGTGAAAGACCTCTACAAGGAAAACCACAAAACACTGCTGAAAGAAATCATAAGCGACACACACACACACAAAACAAACACATCGCTTGCTCATGGATGGGTACGATCAATATTGTGAAAATGAACAAGCCGCCAAAAACAATCTACAGATTCAATGCAATTCCCATCAGAATACCACCATTATCCTTCACAGAGGTAGAAAAAACAATCTTAAAATTCATATGGAACCAAAACAGAACCCACATAGCCAAAGCAAGATGAAGTAAAATGAACAAATCTGGAGGCATCACATTACTCGACTCCAAACTATACTATAAGGCCATAGTCACCAAAGCAGCATGGTACTGGTATAAAAATAGGCACATAGTCCAATGGAACAGAATAGAAAACCCAGAAAGAAAGCTAAATACAGCCAACTGATCTTTCATAAAGCAAACAAAAACACAAAGTGGGGAAAGCACATCCTATTCAACGAATGGTGCTGGAATAATTGGCAACCCACATATAGAAGAATGAAACTGGATCTTCATATCTCATCTTATATAAAAATCAACTCAAGATGAATCAAGACTTAAATCTAAGGCCCAAAACCATAAAGATTCTGGAAGATAACATCAGAAATACCCTTCCAGACATAGGCTTAGGCAAAGACTTCATGACCAAGAACCCAAAAGCAAATGCAACAAAAGAAAGATAAATAGATGGGACCTAATTAAACGAAAAAGTTCAGCACAGCAGAAGAAATAATCAGCAGAGTAAACAGACAACCCACAGAGTGGGAGAAAATTTTTGTAAACTATGCATCTGACAAAGGACTAATATCCAGAATCTACAAAGAACTCAAACAAATCAGCAAGAAAAACAACAACAACAACAACAACAAACAATTCCATTAAAAAAGTGGGCTAAGGACATGAATAGACAATTCTCAAAAGAAGATATACAAATGGCCAACAAACGTAAGGAAAAATGCTCAGCATCACTAATTATCAGGGAAATGCAAATCAAAACCACAATGTGATACCACCTTACTCCTGCAAGAATGGCCGTAAAAAAAAAATAGATGTTGGCATGGATGCAATGAAAAGGGAACACTTTTACACTGTTTATGGGAATGTAAACTAGTACAACCACTATGGAAAACAATATGGAGATTCCTTAAAGAACTGAAAGGAGATCTACTGTTTCAGCCAGCAATCCCACTACTAGGTATCTACCCAGACGAAAATAAGTCATTATACAAAAAAGAAACTTGCACATGCATGTTTATAGCAGCACAATTTACAATCGCAAAAATATGGCACCAGTCAAAATGCCCATCAATCAACGAGTGGATAAAGAAAATGTGGCGCATATATACCATGGAATACTATTCAGCCATAAAAAGGAACAAAATGATGGCATTTGCAGCAGCCTGGATGGAACTGGGGACTATTATTCTATGTAAAGTAACTCAGGAATGAAAAATCAAACGTTGCACGTTCTCACTTATGTGTGGGAGCTAAGCTATGAGGATGCAAAGGCATAAGAATGATACACTGGACTTGGGGACTCAGGGGAAAGGGTAGGGGATGGTGAGGGATAACAGACTACACATTGGGTACAGTGTACACTGCTCAGGTGATGGGTACACCAAAATCTCAGAAATCACCACTAAAGAACTTATTCATGTAAACAGACACAACCTGTTCCCCAAAAGCGATTGAAATACAAAAACAAACAAATAAATAATAAACACTCAGAAAAATAAAAAAATAGCCTCGTGTAACTACTGACTAGAAAGGCACACCTCTAAATCTTAATTTTTTTTTCCTTTCTAAAATGGGAGTAGGCATGTGCAGTGGCTCAGATCTGTAATCCCAGCACTTTGTGAGGCCAACGTGGAGCCCAAGAGTTCAAGAGCATCCTGACCTTCATGGGGAGACTCCTGATTCTACAAAAAGTAATAATAATAATAATAAATAGCCAGGTGTGGTGGCACGTGTCTGTCGTCCCAGCTATTTGGGAGGCTGAAGCAGGAGGATGGCTTGAGCCCAGGATCTTGAGCTGCAGTGAGCCGTGTTTTCACCACTTGCACTCCAGCTGGGGCGACAAACCAAGACCCTATGTCAAAAATAAATAAATACATACGTACGTACATACATAAATATAAAATCAGAGTAATAGTTCTAATCAAATTCTTGACCAAAGGATCAGATAATATATGTGAACTTTGAAAAACTAAAAAATACAAGTATTACTTTATGTAGATAACTATTTTATTATTGTTTTATACTCAAGAATTTTTATCATTTTGAATCAGAGGGAAATGGAATAAGCAGCCTGAGAAAACTGAGTTCCCGATATCTGGTAGAGTTTTGAGGCTGTCTGGCGATAAAGAACAAAAATATCCAGGAGAGTTAGGCTAAATCATCCCTCAATAACCTGCACAGACCTTCCCCGGGAGGTCCTCTTTGACTCCCTAGACTGAATTAATAGTCCTCTAGATATAACCATGACACTTTTCATGCTGTATTGTAAAAAAGTGGTCTGTCTGCTCAACTTTACCGAAGAACAGGTGCCTCTGATCCCCGTGTTCTTCTGGTTGTCAACCGCTGAGTACACAGTATATCCTCAATCTGTATTTGTTGAATAATTTACTTGCACTGTATTCGTGAGGGTATGGTTCTCTGATAACTTAAGTAACTACTAATCCGTGGGAAACAGAACAGCTCTTTAAAGACCATGTGGATGAATACCGGCTATTGTAACTGCCCAGTTGGTGCATCTCAGTTGCCAGGAGCCCGTCCAGTGCTGACCTCTTTCTTTTGCCCTTCCCTCCCGCCCCTTCAGTCTGAGGGATATAGAGGACCTCACAGTCATGAGGTCGCGACAGTCCGCGCCGTCGTGGAGACAAGCTGGACGCGGAGAGAGAACTACATTTCCCAGCTGACTCTCCTGCGCGCGCCCCTGCCTGCGCGCGGGGGGCGAGTGCACCGGGCGCTCGCTCCCTGCCGAGCGCTTGTCGCCCGCCCAAGCCTTTGCCAGGGGATGAGGTGGGAGGCGCTAGAAACCACTTAGCTACAGCCAACCGCCCAATGCAGCACTCGCTCGCTCCCCCCGCCAGCGGAAGCGCCCGCGGAGCACAATGCAGCACTAAGCCGCGGTGGAGGCTGCAGCGCCACGGCCGCCGCAGCACCGGCTGGGGCTGGGAGGAGGTGGCCGTGGGGAGCCCAGGGCGCGGAGTGAGGGAAACGGACTCGGCGGCCCCGGCATGAGGAGCTGAGCGTTTCGGGCGAGGCGGGCTGACGGCAGCACCATGCAGGCGGCGGTAGCTGTGTCCGTGCCCTTCTTGCTGCTCTGCGCTCTGGGGACCTGCCCCCCGGCGCGCTGCGGCCAGGCAGGTAAGTTAACCGCCCTCTGTGCCTTCGGGCCATACTATTTCCCGGGAATCTTTGGAGCCCTCAGGCGTATTGAAAAGGGGGCATTCCCATTTCCCGAGTGCGCGGGGAGATTTTTTTCTTTTTTTTTTAAAATTCGGGAGGGTGGTGAGAAGTGAAGCAAAAATATATGTGTGGGGGCGCGCAGATACACTAGAAGCCTTGGGTCAAAGCCTGTTTTTCTCCTTCTGAAGAGGAATGGGGAGAATGGGAAAGGGGTGCCTTGCTTCTGGGCCGCGCTCCTGGATGCTCTCGGATGAACTGGTCCAAGGCTCTCCGGCTGTTGTCTCTGCGTCCTTCCCAGATGGGTTCCGAGAGGGAGGGGGAGGTGGGGATTTTCGTAGGGGAGACGTAGGACCGCAGAATGGAGGAGTGCGGGTCAGGGTCATTATTTTCGCCTTTTCTCTCCATTCCCTCCTTTCCCCCTTCCTGCCTGGAGGAGACGCCTCATTGATGAAGCTAGAGAAGAGGAAGGAAAACCGCTTCCTGGAGCGCCAGAGCATCGTGCCGCTGCGCCTCATCTACCGCTCGGGCGGTGAAGACGAAACTCGGCACGATGCGCTCGACACGCGGGTGCGGGGCGACCCCGGCGGCCGGCAGGTGAGAGGCTGGGTCCGGGAGGTGGTCCTCCGCGCCGCCCGGCCCACCCGAGACCCCACGATTGCGCTCGGTTGCCCTGGAGACCCCATGTCTTCTTGGGTGAAATGAGCTCAGTCCCGATGCGAGTCATGCATGGCGCTCCCTGTGCAAAAAAGGGGAAAAGGGTACAAAAAATAACCAAAATAACCACAGGCCGAGGGCTTTGCCCGAGGGGAGTTTGTGCGGGGTGCCTTCAGCAGTGCGGTGACCTGAGAGAAGGGGCGGAGAGCCCTCTGACATCTGTCAAGCAAAAGCCAGGCGTGCATAGGGAGAAGGGAGGTAGTATTTGGGCAGGGTTTGAATCATCGTTGTTGTTGTTTTACTCCTCAAAGAGACTTCGTAAGTGATTTAACCCAAGATTGACACTGTAAGAAGGAATTGGAAAAAAACAAGGCTAGACGTTCTTAAGAAACCTAAACTGTAAAAGCAAGCTGAACTTTAAGGTTCTATTCGCTCACATTGTGGACACCAGAGATATGCCCATTCACCTCTGCCTTCTAGAAAAGGTGTCCTCCTCGCACTTTCTTTATTGGTAGCAGTTCTCTTGGTTTAATTAGGGCTGTGCTGTTCGTGGAGCATTTATAAATTATGTTTTAAAAAATCTAGTTTTATCACTGTATCTGTGTTTAAATCAAGATCATACATTCACAGATATGCCTGAAAATTATTGTGAATTTATTGACAAATTTAAGTAAATACTTCTGGGGCTGTGTATTTTTTTCATTTCTACACATCAGCTTATCAGGCAGTTCCACCTACCTGTAAGTACATTTTAAGATAGGACTTGTTCATGTAGTTGAAAATTTTTGTAAACTTGACTGAAGCAAAGGCAAGCCAAACCTTTTCATATGTGTAGATATATTCATCAGTGCTTTAAGACATATCTTGATGATGTGATAATTATACTAACTTATCTGTATATGTGAAAAAAGTAAAAATAGAAAATATTATTTAAATCTGTATTTGTAGCCAAATAGTTGGTACTGTTAAAATTTTGTTAATAGAAGGTGGGAAATTAACTTAAAGGGCTACATAACATGCATCAAAGATTGTTTTAGTAGAAAATCCCAATATTTTAAGCTTTTAATGAAGGACTCTTGTACGTGAATTAATGTTTGGTAAATGCCTGTTTTCCTTTTCCATTTTGACTCGTTTCAATGGTAAAACTGAAGAAGCAGGGTCCATAGTTTCCCTATGTCATCATATTTTTCAATCAATTAAGATTATTTCTGTGGAAGAATATTTTCACACCCATTTGCAACCTTTTGTTATAAAAAATTTCAAACACACAAAAGAGTAGGATAAGTTAATGAACCTCCCAGCTCCAACAATTAGCAACTCATGGCCAATCTTGTTTTGTCTATACCCTAACTATTTTTTTTTCTATTTTCTTTCCCTCCCTGTATTGTATTGAAGCAAATCATAATCATTTCATTCATAAAAAGTATAGGAATGTACCACTAAATGGTAAGGATTCTTTTAAAAATGCAACCGTGTTATTGTATTTTCAAAAATTTAGAATAATTTCTTACTACTATCAAATATCCTGTTTTTCAGATTTCCAGTTCTCGTAAATACATATGTATATATGTGTATGTATATGTGTGAATGTTTATATATGTGTGTGTATATATGTGTGTGTGTGTGTGTGTGTGTATATATATAGAGAGAGAGTATATATTTAGAGTATATATTTAAGTAAGTTTGTCTGGACCAGGACCCAGATAATGTTTGTAGATTGTAATTAGTTTGTTTATTTATTTTTTTGTGACAGGGTCTCACTCTGTCACCCAGACAGGAATGCAGTGGCGTGATTATGGCTCACAGCAGCCTTGACCTCTTGGGCCCAAGTGATCCTTCCACCTCAGCTTCCTGAGTAGCTTGGATTACAGGCATGTGCCACCTTATCTAGCTAATTAAAATTTTTGTGTGTGTAAGAATGGAATTTCACCATGTTGCATAGGCTGGCCTTGAACTCCTGGGCTCAAACCATCTGCCGGCCTTGGCCTCCCAAAATGCTGGGATTACAGGTGTGAGTTGTGGGGCCTGGCCTGGTTTTTTGTTTTCTAAAAAGTCTTTTAATGTATGGTTTTTCACCTCAATTTTTTTTTCCCTTTGCAGTTTTTTTCAGTAAAGACATGGAGGCTTTTATCCTGTAGAGTTTCTCAGAGTCAAGATTTTGCTGTTGTAACCAGTGCTTTAAAACAATTCACAAAGACTTTCTAGGAGAAGAAGAAAGACTGAGGGAAATAGAGATACAGAAAAATAAAATGACAGGATTGAACCTGGAAACTCACAGAATCTCTCACTCATGCTGGAAATGTCTTTGGGTACCTCTTGCCTTTTCTGTGTTGATGAAAGACCACCACTTTTGAAAAGTGGAGGAGGTCAGTCCTCCTTTTCTTCCCATTTATGGAGCACCACTTATGCAGTTTTTTGATTCACAGGACTCTTGACGTGGGTTGGAAGCTGTCTTGGGTTCATAGAGCTTCTACTTCCTATGGCCATAAACCTCACAATAGAGAAGAATGACTGGTTTTTGGTGAAGTATGAATGAATTGGTAGGATTTAGGTTTAACAGTATGAATAGATTATTAATTCAAGTCAGAAATGAAAACGATGCTACCATCTTACAGTAATTATTACAAAACGTTATCCCAGTGCCTAGCACATAGTAAGGTAGACGTAGTACATGTTGATGTCTGTATCACCTGGGAGCCACTGCAGTTTACCATGCTGCTTCAACTACAGGTGGAAATCATTGACAACTAGGACCAGATCTGACAGAATCGTAAAGACCTATTTATCTTAAGCCAACTTTTCCTACAGTTAGGAAACAGAAGAGTTTTCTTGCACTATTGGCATTTCTAGTTTCCCTAAGAGCAACAATTGGATCGAAAAACATAAGTTGATTTTTTATGGCCCTTGTTATTTCTCTAATACTTAAATAGATCTAATTTATGGCATTTTAATTCTAGAACCCCATAGATTTTTTTTTTTCTGGAGATGGAATCTTGCTCTGTCACCCAGGCTGAAGTGCAATGGTGTGATCTCAGCTCATTACAACCTCTACCTCCTGGGTTCAAGCGATACTCCTATCTCATCCTTCTGAATAGCTGGGATGACAGGCGCCCACCACCATGCCCAGCTAATTTTTGTATTCTTAGTAGAGACAGAGTTTCACTATTTTGGCCAGGCTGGTCTAGAACTCCTGACCTCAGGTGATCCTCCCACCTCGGCCACCCAAAGTGCTGGGATTATAGGCGTAAGCCACCATGCCTAGCCACCCATAGATATTTTTATCAACTTCCTTTCTACTTCGTAAGTAAAATCAGGGTGATTTTTTGTGAACTCAAAAAGCTTATATACATTTGTTGATTTGTTTCTTTAAAAGATCTTTATTTATTTATTTATTTATTTATTTTATTTTTTTCTTTTGAGATGGAGTCTCACTCTGTTGCCCAGGCTGGAGTGCAGTGGCACAATCTCGGCTCACTGCAAAGTCCACCTCCTTGGTTCAAGCGATTCTCCTGCCTCAGCCTCCCAAGTAGCTGGGACTACGGGCACGTGCCACCACATCTGGCTAATTTTTTGTATTTTTAGTAGAGACAGGGTTTCACAGTGTTAGCCGGGATGGTCTCGATTTCCTGACCTCGTGATCTGCCTACCTTGGCCTCCCAAAGTGCTGGGATTACAGGCGTGAGCCACCACACCTGGCCTAAAAGGCATTTATTTACTTGTGTTCCTACTCTGTACTAATTTTTATGCAAGACCATGGGCATTTAGAGATAAAAGACACAGTTTTGCTTTTAAGGAATTCTTAAAGATGTGGAAGATGAATGGGTGACTAAACAATTATACTTTGCCTTGTGATTTTCTGGAGGTGATCACAGAAGCTGGTGGAGGCAGAGAAGGCTAGTACTTAACCCAGGTGAGCAGTCAGGGTGGGCTCTCTGGGGAAGCCGTGTTTCGAGGGTGAGTTTGGAATTGCTACATTAAAAGGAAGGGTGAGCATATCCAACCAAAGAGGCAGTAAGTACATAGGTACATGGGAATCAGGATATGTTTTTGTTAATTGCAAATAGTATAGAATTCAGGGTCAGATAAGATAAAACAGGAAAGCAAAGAGTAGATGCTGCGGCACTTTCGTGACTTGCCGAGGAATTTGGAATTTGTCCTGAAGGCAGTCACAGGATTTCATTTAGGAGAGGTAACTGACCAGATTCATGTTATTGTCAGATAATCCTAATTGTTAGAATGAATACTTTTAATTTCAAAGAGCACGTGACTGTAGTTGTGTACTTTAGTTCACTGGTAAATGTTCACATAATCTTTAAGATTCATAAGTACTTAGTAAATATACTGAAAATAACTGTATAAATGAGTTAATATTTATAATGTGCTTAGAACAATGCTGGGCATAGAGTAAGCACTATATGAGTCTTTGTTAAATAACATTAACTCCCTCAGGCTGCTTGAGTACTATTTAGATATTTTATGACATCACTTGAATGCAAAATGGTGCCTTAACTACCTGAGTTTAACATAGTCCCAGAAGTATGTTACTAATTACTCAATTTATATTTAACTAAGTGGAATCAAATAGTGGTAGAGATAGAAGAGACCTTACAGGTTATCTAACCTAATTCAGGAATTACTTTTCACTTGTTAAGAGAAAGCCATTGGCTGGGTGCGGTGGCCCATGCCTGTAATCCCGGCACTTTGGGAGGCCGAGGTAGGTGGATCATTTGAGGTCAGGATTCGAGACCAGCCTGGCCAATATGGTGAAACCCTGCCTCTACTAAGAGTACAAAAATTAGCCCAGTGTGGTGGTGGGCACCTGTAGTCCCGAGGCTGAGGCACAAGAATCGCTTGAACCCGGGAGGCGGAGGTTCCAGTGAGCAGAGATGGTGCCACTGCACTCCAGCCTGGGCGACAGAGCAAGTCTTCATCTCAAAAAA